AAATATATTTCGGCATATAACAGAAGAGATGAAATATTTGTGTTATTACTCCCCCCCCTCCCCCTGCCCCGCTTAGATGAGGTACTCCACACCCAGAAAATTCAAAAGTCTCCGTTCCTGCTAGAGGGAGAGAGAGGGAGGGAGAGCGAGAGCGAGAGCAAAAGAGAGAGAGAGAGAACCCCATTCTCTCGCGCCCGATTAATGCGCGTTAACGCACGCGTCTCGCGCTCGCGCCCGAGCACATCCGTCCGGCTGCAGGTTTACCGCCAGGGCTCTTTTGTTCCCAGTTTAGCTCGCGGTCGTCCGACGACGACCTACTGAAACACGCGGAATGAAAATGGTCACGCGCGCGCCCGGAGCGCGAACCGTTCGCGCGTTTGTTTGTCCCACGGTAAATCCAAAAGCCGTCGATACTCTCACAATAAAGACACACACGTATCCGGCGTGATAGAGAACGCTAAGCATTATCCGCGGTACCGGATGCTAATCAACGATGCGAGACACAAATTGATAAACCATTTCGCCGACGAAGTCGTCGAAGCCGCGGGAAATTATTGAGGGTCTATATACTCGCAAACGAGTATAACGTACCCGTCGGTACTCTATGAAGTTTAAGTATCCCTAAATCGAACACGTGCGTCCATGCGCCGCCTCGCGCCTCCGCATCTCTCCGTGTAAAAAATTCAAGGCTCTCTTCCGCCAATCGATAATCCAGCCTCTGCCTCTCTCTCTCTCTCTCTCTCTCTCTCTCTCTCTCTCTCTCTCTCTCTCTCGCTCTCGCGGTCTCTCTTCGTATTTACCAAAGTTCATATCGCGAACAAACATATGCGGCATTAACGCGGGAGGCCGCGAATCAGATGGAACAATACCGCCGATCCGCGATTTCCCAGCTCGTCATATGAACGATAACGCTCAATATATGCGCAACGAAATGTGTAATTTCACTTGGAAGAACTGGCGCATACGTCCGCCAGTAATGCCAGTGCTATAACCCAGTCATATTGATCCGAAGATATTCTCTCGCTTTTACTACTCGCAAATGTTATGTTTCATTTCCGCGGCGTATATACTAGAATTGTACACTCAGCGTTGCTGAATGAAAAATGTAATTTACCAGCGAGGGCCTTGAAAAGATACGACAGGAGGATACTCTTTGCTTTACAATGATTTGGATTTACGCATGCATATTAGATCATCGCTTGCAATGTGACATCTCTCACGTTAATTTTCATTCAGTTCTTTTTTTATTTTTTTATTTATAGAATTTTTCCTATAAAAACCAAA